CAAAATTGAGTTGGACTATCGGCCCACCGGGACAAGTCCCGGTATCCCGATAGGCCAATCCGCCCCTGTCTACATAGCAATAATATTGGTTGCAATGATATGTTTGGACTGAAAGCCTTGTCAGAATTTAGACAGTGGCGATCCAAATGGAGATTTGTTCCGGACACACAACACAACAAATCTGACACTTTGCTCGAGTCACTTAGAGCGTGTGATCAAAATGTTGTTTTCCAGCTTTGCATGCCTTGCTCATGATTGGTGTGATCATACCAGTGTCAACTGCTTCACCTGAAGTTTTTTCCAGCTTTGCATGCCTTGCTCATGATTGGTGTGATCATTCCAGTGTCAACTGCTTCACCTGAAGTTTTTTCCAGCTTTGCATGCCTTGCTTATGATTGGTGTGATCATACCAGTGTCAACTGCTTCACCTGAAGTTTTTCCAGCTTTGCATGCCTTGCTCATGATTGGTGTGATCACACCAGTGTCAACTGCTTCACCTGAAGGGACATTTCCGCTTTACACCTCCTGAAAACTTATCTCCGCAACAGAACTAAAGAAACAAGATTGAATGGTCTGGCTCATATGTACCTCCATTCAACAGAGGCAGCTCACCTCAGTAATGTCATAGACCGGTTTGCAAGCCTTAAATCTCGACGTATCATCTTGTAATATTTTAAATCTGAATTTTATTTTGTACATCATTTATATAAGTTTAACGTAACAGCAAATGTACAAGATTTTGTCATCATCAGGTACAAGTTCTATCTATTCAAAACACTGTAATTTTAAACAAAGAACCAAACATAAACAAACGAAAAATCAAGGAATCCATATTAATTCAACAAACCAATCCTAGTCTAAACCAACACCCTGGGGTGCCTAGACATCTTTTCCAAGTCGTGCAACAGTATCCGGTCATGTGACCTGTTTGTTCCATACTGTATATATATATATATATATATCTGTGGCAGTGTAAGCTACCTGTACATGATTTTTGACAAAACCTTGTACATTTGCTGTTATGTTAAACTTATATTAAAGTTTTTCTTCATATTCAAGCCGTCTCCAAGCATTATTAGTCTCAAAGTGGGTTCCTCGTTATTGAATACGGTAATTTATTATTTGAGATTTTGAAAACACAATAAAATATTTTCTTTCGCTCAGTAGTTTATTTCGAATGTCATTATGTGCTCCCCCCTCCCCTTGAAATTTCTGGCTATGTACTGCCAACAACTACCTGGACTGAGATGGTTTCTGCTTTCACTATGTGTGCAAACTTCGGAGTCTGGAGGATTTGGTTTCCAGCCCCCCTCCCCCCAGTGGCACAGCGGTATGTCTGCGGACTTACAACGCTAGAAACCGGTTTTCGATACCTGTGGTGGGCAGATCACAGATAACCCATTGTATATCATTGTGCATAAATTCAAACAAATTTAACCTGACGATAAAAAAGTTTTAACTATTCTTATAATTCAGTGTAAAACTTTACGTAATATAGGAACGTTCAGGCTTAATGGGTGTCTACAATGTACAGTTTCCTTGGATTTTCAGTTTTGTTTAGGGTTTGAATAAAATGCAAGAGATATTATGTAAGGTGGTTATTTCGGTATGAAGGGAGAGGTTGTTAAAGGCGTTCTTAATAAAACTCGAAACTAGTATGTAAACCCCTCTATCTCTTTTTTTTTCTTCTTCTTTTACGATGAACAAATGTAAATTGGTCATCTATCAGTTGGCTTGGATATCGAGAAAGTTTTTTGTCAGTTTCACAAGTGAAATAATATTAGGATGCTTAGAATTTAAATAATCTATGCATTTTTTTTAATGTGATCAGAGCTTCGAAAGAGCAAAAATGTGTCATCAGCATACCTTCTGTTCAAGTATCAGGAATAAAATTTATCGTTAAATAAAAAAGCTATGTAGTGCTGGCTACTGAACTTGAAAAAAAAGGAACCAAGCAGGATAGGGATGGAAGTGGACATATCATTTGATCGGCTAATGATCACATAACAGACTAACCCGTCTCGACTTTACATGGAGAATAAAATCCCTACATTACTGACTTCCCCACTTTGTCTATCAAAAGCATGGTGTTTGAATAGAGTCTCAGCTTTCATCACTACACCTTTCCTTTAGTTAACTTTAGAATAGTATCTTTACGATTATTTTATAATAGAGTAACATTTTGTGATTGGAAGTTCTGGTTCTATATGTTTTGCCGGAGATGAAGCCAGTAATATAGGGATTTTCATTCTCCATAAATGACTGAATGTCGGAATAAGTAATTATAGAAAGTTACTGTGATGAAGAATCTTAAGTGTAAACTCGTTGAAAGTAAGTGAATTTAGAACAGGAACAAAGAATTTAGCCAGTTTATGGGACCCGATACGTCTGGCCATATTGTTTCTTTAACTTTAGTCCACCGTACATGAGACTGGATGGGAGCTTGAGGGGTAGATGGCTTCAAAAATGTAATCACGTTATTCGAAATTTCTTAAGACTCGTACTTCTTCGTCATGCTTTATAATGAACTATAACACAGAAAGTTATGAATTTTGTTTTGTCGTTCAAAATTACTGCATTTGGTTAATGTAATTACGTTTATCAACGAAAACAGCACCAGCACTTTGTAAGGTTAGGTGACAACGATATTTTCGTTATTTGTTTATTTCTCTTATGCTCTTCAGTTCAGTGTTGGGCTGAAGATGACATGTGAAATGTTGGGCTGAAGATGACATGTGAAATGTTGGGCTGAAGATGACATGTGAAATGTCGAAACTAGTTTCCATTTAAATGTGGTATTATTCCGTTAGAGCAGATTTAAACTTTATTCTAAACTACTTTACATAGTATTGTGTATTTATTTATTTTTTTGACTTTGTTTATTTTCTGAAGTTAAGCACAAAACTACACAATGGGCTATATGTGCTCTGCTCACCACGGGTATCGAAACCCGGTTTCTAGCGTTGTTAGTTCGGGAACTGCAACTGCTGATGGACAGCTTCTCGCAGGCCTGCCAATAATTCGGACTAACCATCAGCCTGAAGAAGACAAATGACCTGAGCCAGAATACACCGGCACCA